TGTGTGTGTGTGTGTTGTGTGTGTGTGTGTGTGTGTGTGTGTGTGTGTGTGTGTGTGTGTGTGTGAGAGAGAGAGAGAGAGAGAGAGAGAGAGAGAGAGAGAGAGAGAGAAGAGAGAAAGAGAACTTCTTTCCTTCTTATTCTCTGTTATTGGATTTTATGAATTTATACAAACACGAACACAAAGACAGACTGTTAGATAGATTGGCAGATAGACAGACACATATGTAGACACCAAGCAGGTAAAGGCAGTAGAGAGAAAGATAGATAGATAGATAGATGAAAAGATAGATAGATAGAAAGATAGACAGATAGATGAATAGATAGATAGATAAATAGATGGATAGATAGATAGATAGATAGATAGATAGGTGAATAGATAGATCGATAGAAAGACAGATAGATGAATGGATAGATAGAAAGATAGATAGATAGATAGATATATGGATAGATAGATAGAAAGATAGATAGATGAAGAGATAGATTTGATCTTGGCGGCTGTAGTCCTCACCGCTATCAATATTAGCATTAATAACTACCCGATACAAAAGAAGAAGAAGAAAAAGAAAAAAGAAGAAGAAGAAGAAGAAAAAAAAAGAAAAAGAAAAAAGAAGAAAGAAGAAGAAGAAGAAAGAAGAAGAAGAAGAAAAAGAAAAGAAGAAGAAGAAAACGAAAAAAAGAAAAAAGAAAAAGAAATAACAAGAAGAAGAAGAAAAGAAGAAAAAATATATACAACAGATTCCACTTAGAATCTGGATGCCGCGGTGGTAGGCCTAACCCTGAGGTAAACAAAAGAATCAACAAAAACAAAAACAAAAGCAATAGCAGCAAAAGGAAGAAAAATAAAAGAGAGAGAGAGAGAGAGAGAGAGAGAGAAGAGAGAGAGAGAGAGAGAGAGAGCGAGAGAGAGAGAGAGAGAGAGAGAGAGAGAGAGAGAGAGAGAGAGAGAGAGAGAGAGAGAGAGAAAGAAAGAAAGAAAGAAAGAAGAAGACGAAGAAGAAAAAAATCCGTCTTTGTATAATTGGTGGAAAAAATCTTTTCATTTGACCTTCGGAGACTCCCATTAGCTAAGGGGGGTGGGGGTGGGGGGAGTGGAGGAGAAGGAAGAAGAGGAGGGAGGAGCTAAACAAGGAAGAGGAGTAGGATGAGAAGAAGGGAGAAGAGGAGAAGAGAAAAGGGAAGAAGAGGGAAAGGAGGAAGAAGAGGAGGAGCTAAACAAAGAAGAGGAGTAGGATGAGAAGAAGGAAGAAGAGGAAAAAAGAGAAAAGGGAAGAAGAGGGAAAGGAGTAAGAAGAGGAGGAGATAAACAAAGAAGAGGAGTAGGATAAGAAAGGGGAAGAAGAGGAGAAGGAGGAAGAAGAAAAAGAAGAAGAGAAAAACCAGGAGGAGGGAGAGGAGGAGATGAACAAGAAATAGGAGTAGGAGGAGAAGGAGGAAGAAGAGGAGAAGAGAAAAGGGAAGAAGAGGGGAAGGAGGAAGAAGAAGAAGAAGAAGAAAAGGAACAAGAAGAGGAGAAGAGAGGGAGGAAGAAGAGGAGAAGAAATAATAAGAAAGAAAAAGACAAGGAGGAAGAGGAGAAGGAGATAAACAGGGAAGAGGTGCAGGAGGAAAAGGAGAAAGATGAAGACGATGATAACACCAAAACGAAAGAAAAGAAGAAGGAGGAAGACTGAATAAAGATAGAGCAAACAAAAGAAAGAAGATGACAGAGGATGATAATGATAATAATGATAGATGGAGACACGGAAAGAGAGGAAAAAGGGAAGCAGAGAAATTAGAAATAAAGATGACAAAATATAAAGATGACGAAAGAGGGAGCAACGGAAGATAAGAAAGAATACCGTAGAAAACAAAGGAAGAAGAACAATAGGCAAGAAGATGAGTCGAAGTGATTTCAAAGAAACAATGATAAGGAACAAAGGAAGAGAGAGATAGGGAGTGAGGAATGGAGAGTGAGAGAGACACACACACACACACCACACACAGAGAGACAGGAGAGAGAGAGAGAGAGAGAGAGAGAGAGAGAGAGAGAGAGAGAGAGAGAGAGAGAGAGAGAGAGAGAGAGAGAGAGAGAGAGAGAGAGAGAGAGAGAGAGAGAGAGAGAGCGAAGAGAGAGAGAGAGAGAGATACAGGCAGACACATAATCTCTCTCTCCCTCTCTCTTATTATACTCTCTCTCTCTCCTCTCTCTCTCTCTCTCTCTCTCTCTCTCTCTCTCTCTCTCTCTCTCTCTCTCTCTCTCTCTCTCTCTCCCTCCCTCCCCCTCTCTCCTCCACCTCCCCTCCCTCCTCCTCCCTCCTCCCTCCCTCCCTCCATCCCCCATCCCCCTCTCTCCTCCTCTCTCCCTCCCTCCCTCCCTCCCTCCTCCCTCCCCCTCCCTCCCTCCTCCCTCCTCCTCCCCTTCCCTCCCTCCCTCCCTCCCCCCCTCCCCTCCCTTCTCATTCCACCCAAAGGAACTCATTTGCATACAATAGTCGTCCACACGTCACAGCCTAAGAGGGTCGCGGACGGCAGCCAGATCTGTTATCGATATCTCAGCTGACCGTTGCAAAGGCGAGTAAGTGTGTCAGTGCAATTGCAAGGGAATGTAAGAAAAAAAGAAAGGAAGGAAAATAAATGATAAAAAAAAGAAAGGAAGAAAAAAAATGATTCAGAAATATTAAGATATATGGTAAAAAAAAAATGAAGGAAAGGCGTATACGGGTGTTGGAAAAAACATTTAAAATCAAATGAAGGACTTAAAAGAAGAAAAAAATTAGAAGAATAGTTTAAATAGATAGAGAATTAAGATAATATTCATGATAATATCAATTCAAACCATAAACGAAACTAACGAAACTATAAATTCAGAGACGGTACTCGATCCCCTTGTCGATCCCTTGTGAACAATGAAAAGGTATTCCATTCTCCAGATTTATAGACACAGGGAAGGAACTTGGCGGTAAATCAGTGCAAGCAGGTAATTGTTTTATTTTTTGCTTGTTGTTGCTTTTGTTTTTGCTTTTTGGTTCTTTATTTAGGTTGATCATCGTTGTTTTTTGATTTGGGAATTCTTATTATGGGTTTCTTTATGGAGATTAATTGGATTTTCTTTCTTTCTCTTTGTTTCTGTCTGAGTGTGTGTGTTTGCGTGTGTGTGTGTGTGTGTGTGTGTGTTTGTGTGTGTGTGCGTGTGTGTGTTGTGCGGATGTGTCGTCTGAGTGTCTGTCTCTTTCTCTTTCTCTGTCTAACCCTCGTTCTCTCTCTCTTTCTCTCTACTCTCACCCCCACCCTCTTCCGTCTTTCCCACTCTCTCTCTTTCTTTCTTCCCACTCTCTCTCTTTCTTCTTTCTTTCCCACTCTCTTTCTCTCTCCATCTCTCTCCTCTCTCTTTCTTTATCTCTCTCCTCCCCCTTCTTCTCTCTCTCTCCCTCCCTCCCTCCCTCCTTCTCTCTCTCTCTCTCTCTCTCTCTCTTTCTCTCAAATGATATATCAAGACATCAGAAGAACTCCTTTTACGACATCTGATTCACTTTCTTCATTAATGAGAAAATCCCATTTCCTTGTAAGAATCTCGTTAATCTGCAATATCAAATGATAAATTGCAGATGTTGATGCGTAATATCCTTCTGTCTTTAGATATTAACGACGAAAACATAACCACAACATAATTCGATGTATTCCTAATAAGGATGCTAATTCCCAGCGCTTTGAGGTTATTGTATAATATGTCCCCTAAAGGTATATATATATATATATATATGACTAGCTTCACACTACGAGAGATGTATTTAAACGGTTTCGGACACATCTTTCCGACGAAGACGCATTCGTAATCTGTTAAATACATCTCTTGCATTGCGAAGATATTCATTCTCGTGCGTTTTTTTTTTTTTTTTTTTTTTTTTTTTTATCTATCGTAAGGAATACGCTTTTATATAACATCTCTGAAGGCGCCGTCTTTGTTGTGGCTTTGAAGACGGAACTTTTTTTTTTTCTTTTTTTTTCTCCTCGGCCTCCGGGGAAGATCTCGAAGACGCTGCCAAATGAACTCAAAAGGGATCATTTGCGGAGAAATATTTATGGCGACCTTGCTGGCGTGCGTGAGGCGACGGTGCTGCCCTCCAGCGGCTACCGGAGGCACTAAGGAGAGAGACGACCTTCGGGAAAAGGAACAAAAGATGTAGGCAAAGAGGACGATGATGATGGTGGGAGAAGCGAGGAACGGAGAAGGGGTTGGAATATATGAAATATATAGAGGGAGATAGGGGAGGGAGAGATTAGGTCAACCCGTGAATTTTAATTTATTTTTTGTAGCTTGTTTTCTAATGAAATAATAAAAATAGATTTCTCTTTTTTTTTCTTCTTCTTCTTCCTCGAATCTGATCATTCGCAACGCCAGAGTGACCTCGGAAATGAATCCCTTTTCTGTATTGGCGATTATTGATAACGGACATGGAGAGCGAAGCAATAAAACGTAATTATAGAATAATAGCGAGAGGAGAGAAATGGCGATGATCCCGAAAAGACCAGGAGGCGGAAGAGGAAGAGAAAGGAGGAGAAGGAAGGAGGAGGAGAAAGATGAAGACGATGATAGCACCGAAGCGAAGACGAAAGAAAAGAAGATAATTTCTTGGAAGGAAACAGCTGATCGAGATGTTTAACCTGATGATTGGTCGAAATTCTTTTTATCTTGATCTGAAATTGGACGCGTTTCTGCTCTGGGTCGCACGTACACACACGCACACGCAGAGACACACGCAGGCATACACACGCAATTATCCGCACCTATAATCGCGCGGGCACAAACATATGTATACGCAAAATACGAGAGCATACTCACGAACACACACACAGGCCTACGTGTATATATGTATATTTATATATTTTAAAAATCTACTTGTAAAATCTGGCCGGTTTCACGCGGCAGATCCCGGATGTGACTTTCTCTGTTCTAACGCCGTCCTTCTCCCTTCCAGGCTGACCTGCTGGAGGCGCGGCTGGGCAGCAGCAGCAGCCTGAGCAGCAGGAGCAGCAGCCCCGGGCCGGGCTCCGAGGGCGCCGCCCCCTGGTGCCAGCGCTGGTGCGGCCGCCTCTGCCTCCTCCGCCTGGCGCAGTTCACGCTCCTGCTCACGCTCGCCGCCGCCGCCGCCCACGCCCTCATCGCGTCCCTCACCACCCGCGCCCTGCGCCCACGCCCTCGCCCCTGCGCCGCCCGCCCTGCCGCCCCTCTCGCCCGCCTCCTGCCGCAGCGCCGCCCTCCGCCCTGCTCGACCTGCAGGACTTCCACTTCCTGCACGACGCGGCGGAGTCCACGTGCGCGCCCGCGCGCCTGTACTTCGTGTTCCTGGTGCACTCGCGCCCCGACCACTTCCGGCAGCGGCAGGCCATCCGCGCCACGTGGGGCGGCCTGAGGGCGCTGGAGGGCGGGTGGGCGGCCCGCACCGTCTTCATGCTCGGCGAGGGCAGCGGCGGCGGCGGGGACGCGGGCGGCGCGGCGGCGCGGGCGGCGTGCGGGTGGGCGAGCTGGTGGGCCTGGAGGCGCGGCGCCACGGCGACCTCGTGGTGGGCGCCTTCCGCGACCACTACCACAACCTGACGTACAAGCACGCGATGGCGCTGCGCTGGGCGGCGTCGCGCTGCCGCCACGCCGCCTTCGTGGTCAAGGCTGACGACGACGCCTTCGTCGACGTCCCGGCGCTGAGGGCGCTGCTGGACCGCACCTTCGCCGCGCAGCCGCCGCGCCGCACCCTCGCGTGCCACGTGCTGCCGCCGGGCACGCGGCCGCAGCGCAGCGGCAAGTGGGCCGTCAGCGCCGCCGACTACCCGTGGCCCGAGTACCCGCAGTACTGCGCCGGGCTGGCCTACGTGGCCACGCCCGACGCGGCCGACGAGCTGTCCCGCGCGGCGCAGGCGGGCGCGGCGCCCAGGGTGTGGGTGGACGACGTGTGGGTCACGGGGCTGCTGGCGGAGGCGCTGCGGCTGCAGCACCACTACCTCAACCTGCGCTACTCCTACGACCACACGGAGATGGCGCAGTGGGCGGCGCGCGCGCGGGCGTCGCTGCCGCCGCCCTTCGCCTTCGCCCACCTGGACCCCGCGTGCCCCGACTGGCGCCCCACGCTGGACGCGCTCTGGCGCCACGCCCTCGCCGCCCGCAACGCCTCCGCCGACGCCGCCGCGACCGACAGATAGGCGGGAGGAGCCGGCGGCGGGAACGAAGACGTCAACACTTAGAGACACGAAGCAAACGAAATGAGAGGACCTGGCTGCGACTCCTCGGTGTAAATAATATGTAAAAAAGATTCCAATGACCTATTTTTGTAGACGCCAAAGCTATCACGCAGGTTTCGAGTCTGTCTGTCTGTCTGTGAGCTGACAGACTTTAAACAGAACATTCCACTATGTACAGAAACAGCACGTGCCATTCTACATTCAGCGCCCGGACGCGGGAGATTTGCACTAAGGGTGAAATTATCATGTGATGTGATACAACCTTGAGCTTTAATGTGCCAACATTCTATAGATTTACGCAGAGAATTAAGAATCTCTTAAATCTTACGAGACTCCTTAAGATTCTCTGTGATGTAGAATTTTTCCTTCTTCATTTTTTTTTTGATAATCTAAAGAAAAAAAAAAAAAAAATGTAAATCGAAGTCGTGATTGCAAATTTACCTCCTTTCCTGATAACCTTTGATATCAGATAACGTGATCAATCACTCACACAGATAACAAATGCATATCAGTATGAGTGATCAATTTAATTCAACATCAAAACACGATCAGATCACATTAATTAATCCGTTACCTTTGTCGTTTCGTATCACTAACTCTTTTCTCTGAGGAATTTAACCAAAAATCAGCTCAGAGTTAGAATTAAAGAAAAATATTAACGATTTTGGATCATAGACAACACGGCTTTGTACAATACACTAATCTGTGATATATAGCGAAGTGAGACCATGTGATCTTTAATGTAATAAGTAAAGTATGAAAATATGATATACTTGTTTGCTTTTATCCCATCCCCAAAAAACGAAAGACAGAGAGAAAGACAGAAAAAAAAGAAAGAAAGATAGAGAGAAAGAAAAAAAAGAACAACAAATAAATGAATAAAGAGAATAAGTGTACAAAAATCAATTAAATTTGGAAGACTCTGTCTATTGAAATTTTGGGCATGATTTTTATTTTTTCTTTGTTCTCTGCCCATCAAGTAATATCTGTTCTTGTTTATAAACCAATTTAAGTACACCAACAGAAATCTCTTAATCAATACTTATGAAATAACAAGAAGGAAAATAAATCACAAGGTGACATGAAAAAAATAATAATAAAAAATAAAACAGTCCACAAAAAAGACACACATACGCGCACACACAAAGTTATAGTCACGTTTCATCCCCCTCCCCCATCCTCCCCTCCCCTCCCTCTCCTCCCTTCCCTCCCTCCCTCCCTCTCGTCCCTTCCTTCTCCCCCAACCTTCTATCCTCCATCCCCCCCCCCCCCACTCCCCTCTCCCTCCCTTCCCTCCCCAAGCTCTCTATCCCCCCTCTCCCCTCCTCTCCCCCCCCCTCACTCGATCCTCCTCCCCACGACCATCCCCTTAAGAAGCTACAAGAGCCCCTCGAAGGAACCCAAACACTTATAAGACGATGAACAAACATGGTCAAGGATCTGTGAAATATTTTTGTTTCTTCACATACAAGTGGGTACCCAGTCCATTACCCGCTCGATCGAGTGTGTGTGGATATGCGTGTGTGTCTGTTTGTGTTGGGATGTAGTTAAGGCTGTTAATATATATATATGTGTGTGTGTGTGTGTATGTGTGTGTTGTGTCTTTTTGTGTTGGATGTAGTTAAGCTATATATATATATATATATATATATATATATATATATATATATATATATATATATATATATATTATATATATATATATTATGTATTCATATATATATATGTATACGTATATGACATATGCGGGCCTGAATACACATATATAACATATGCGGGTGTAAGTTCATACATATATAAAACATGAAGGTATAAGTGCATACCTATATGTTATATGAAGGAATAAGTCCATGTACATATGACACATGCGGATATATGTGCATGTATATATGGTATGTGATTATATTTGCGTACATGTATGAGACAAGAAAGTATAAATGTATACATATATGACACAAGCAGGATATATAATATTATATATTATATATATATATGATACATGCGGGTATAAATGCATACATATACATGTGGTTATAGATAGATTCGGACACATATATATGCCTCCGTGCATATGTGCATTGAAGTACATGTGTAAAGTTGTGTAACACTCTAGTACTTATTCATTTTTCTTATATCTGTTTTTTTCTATTTTTTTTTTTTTTCATTCTGTACTATTTATCAGATGACCCCCCCCCCCTTATATCATTATCTTATCTTATCGTCCCCTTCTCTTTTCTCTTTCTTCCCTTCTTTTCTCTTCTCTCCTTCTTTCTCTTTCTCTCCTCTTTCTCTTCTCTCCTTCTCCTTTATCGTTCCCAATTCTTTGTTCTTTGTTCTCTGTTCCTTGCTTTATCTCCTACTCCACTTCCTCCCTCTCTCTCTTCCTTATCTCTCTCCTCCTCTCTCTTCATCTGATTCTCCTTCCTCCTCCATCTCTCCTTTGCTTCATCCCTTCTAATTCCTTCTTTCTTTCCCTCCCCATCCTCCCCCTCCCCTCTCTCCCACCCTCCTATCCTCCCTCTCCCCATCCCCCACCCCCTTCTCCTCCCCACCCACCTTCCCATCCTCCACCCTCCCCATCCCCTCCCCATCTTCCCCACCTCCACCCTCCTCCCCTTTCTACCCCACCCTCCCCATCTCCCCTCTCCCTCCCCCCACCCATCCTCCCCCCCCTCCCTCCCCCTCCCCCTCCCCCACCCTCCTCTTCCTCCCCCCATCAGATCTCCGCCAATCAAAGATACTTGAACCGTCACGTTTCCCTTTGTTAATGGAGGAGGAAGCTTCGGAGTGGAAGACCAACAGATAGATAGACTTCGATGTGGTTGGCTGTTTGTTGAGCCGTGCACATAGGGGTGGATAGATAGGATGTGTGTGTGTGTGTGTGTGTGTGTGTGTGTGTGTGTGTGTGTGTTGTGTGTGTGTGTGTGTGTGTTGTGTGTGTGTGTGTGTGTGTGTGTGTGTGTGTGTGTGTGTGTGTGTGTGTGTGTAAGTGTTGTGTAAGTGTGTGTTGTGTGTGTGTGTGTGTAGTGTGTAAGTGTGGTGTGTGTGTGTGTTGTGTGTGTGTGCGAGTAAAGAGATAGATAAATGAATAAATGAATAGATAGATAAATAGATAGACAGATGAATAAACAGATGAATGGAGAGAAAGAGAGATAGAGAATGAGAGAGAGAGAGAGAGAGAGAGAGAGAGAGAAGAGAGAGAGAGAGAGAGAGAGAGAGAGAGAGAGAGAGAGAGAGAGAGAGAGAGAGAGAGAGAGAGAGAGAGAGAAAGAGAACCAAAGAGACAGAGACAGAACCAAAGAGCCAGAGAGACAGAGACAGAACCAGAGAGACAGAGACAGAACCAGAGAGCCAGAGAGACAGATGAAGGAAAAAAAAACGACAGATATATTCACAATTATTCCATCGAGCATTAGACATACAAGGAAGCAGGACACCCAAGTATAGTGTCTTCAACCACACAATATCACGTGAGTTTACAGGTCATAAAAGACAATCTTGCGGTGACCTCGTGACCTGTCTCCTCGTGAACTGTGGGTTACAGCTGACCTCTTCGCCTCTGTGGATGCTGTCAGCTGATTCTCTTCGCATGCTCACTCATATATACATATTTTATCTGTCTGGATGAATACACGCGTACACATATACACAGACACACGCAGACACGCTCACACTCATTCGCAGACACACACATACGGACACACAGATAGGCATACATGTACACACACGTAAGGCCATACACACACACATATAGGCATGCACGTACACACACATAAACATACACGCAACGAGAACTCTATCAACAACAATAACAACTGTTGTAGGGCGAGATCGAAAAAAACATAAACTACGACAAAAGCAGCCGCAACAACAGCAGGCGCAACGAAATCGCCAGCGCTAAAAACAACAAAACCAAAAACAACAACAGCAAAAACACAGCAGCGACAACAACAACAAAGCAACTACAATAATAAAAACAACAGAACATTAACAACAACAAAAAACAACAAGAACAACAACAATAAACATAAAAACAACAAGCAACAACAAAAAAACAAAACAGCAAACAAAACAACAGCAACAACAACAACAATAAAAAAATAAAATCAAAACAAAACAACAACAACAACACCAACACCATAAACAACAACAACAGCAAGAGCAAGAGTAACACCCGCCCACCACCAGAGTCCGCCGCGGCCGCCCACAAGAGGCCGACCTCCGCCCTCGGGGAACCACAGGAAGTATCTGCCATTTATAATACGCCCAATTTCCTTACGAGACGGTATACTGTTCTTTTTTTCTTTCTTATTCTTAACCCTTCTTAAGATCATTTTCTCGTTATGTGTATTTCTGGTTATTTATTTGTTTTGTTATTTAGTTTTGTGGTTGATTTTTCCTTTTTTTTGTTTGTTTTTCTCTCGTTTTTTTGTTTGTTTGTTTTCTCTTACTACCTTTTTCATCTACATTTTTCACATTTATTTCTTCTGTCTTTCTTACCTTCTCTATCTATCTTCTTTCTTTCTTTTTCCTCTCACCCTCCTCCCTCCTCTCACCCACTCCGCCCCTTCCCCTTCTACCCTCACTTCCCTTCCTCCCCTCTACTCCACCTCCTCCTCCCCTTCCCTTCCTCCCCTCCCCTCATAACCCTTTCTTCCTCTCCCCTTCCCTCCTACCCTCCCTCATTCCCCCCCCACCCTTTCCCTCCCCTTCCCCCCGCTACGATTCTACCTCTCTTCCTCTCCCTTCCCCTCCCTCCCCCTCCCCCCCTCCCCACCTTTGCCATGACCTCTTAGTTAACTCTTCTCTGACCCCCCCCCCTTCCTTACCCCCTCTCTCCCCCCAACCCATATCCCATTAAATACACGGGAAAATTATCATTTGTTATCTATTCCCTCTTTCGTTACGATTTTTTTTTCTGCGAGTGCTGAATAAGAGAAAAAGGTAATAAACAGAGTAATAAGAGTGTTCGTGATAAAAGGGATGAAAGACATGATAAAATTGATGATTTATGATAACGATATGATTATTCACAATAACAAAAGTATAATGATAGTGTTAATAGTAATAATGATATTGATAATGATAATAATGATGTTCATGATAATCGTAGTGGCGATAATGATTATAGTAATATTGATAGTAATTCCAATAGTAATGATGATGATAATGATAATAATGAAAAAGATAGTAATCATAATGATGATAATTACAATAACATTGATAACAACATCAACAACAATTAACAATACGATAACAAATACAGACGAAAGTAAAAATAATAAAAAAATAGTTCCTTTACATTAATAACCTTAAAACAACCACAGCTCATAGGTTACCCAGTCATACATTAACTTCCAGTCATCTGTCACAGTTAGACAGTCACACACACAGTCACGTGATGATAAGGAACTGGATACTGTTCGTCACATACACACGCAGACACACATACACACCACACACACACGCACACACATATATACATATATACACACATACACACAAACACATACATACACGCTCATATACACACAAGGGCACACACATACCACAGATACACACTCACACAGACACATACACACTGACATACACTCACACACACACACACACACACACACACTCACACACACACTCACACACACACCAAACACACTCACACATTCACATACACACACACACACACCACACACACACACATACATACACAAACACACACTTTGCTATTAGTTTTTATTTATGCGTGTTCCCTTGTTTGTTTGTCTTATCTA